CCTGCCAACTCCTCTTTATCCAGGCCTAATTTACATGTTTCCCGGCTCATTTTCCTTCTATCTACCTACAATTTAATTTAACATTTCTTAGTTATCTATTTTATATAGCAAGCTTGGGGGTTGAACTCTGAAATTGAATAGACACTGGTCTGACAGTTTCTTGATAGAGGGCAGGAGGTCCTTCAACTTCCTGCTCCCAACTACAGATGTACTTCTCTTTGCAGACCTACTACCCCTTCCCATTGTCCTGCTGCCAATGAAGGTAATATCCTTTCTACCTAATGCTGACCCCAGCCAAGCTCTGAATCCCATCGCTTTCTGCTTCTTCTGAGTCTGGCTCCATCAATTATTTTCTCTCAGATGTTAACCTTTTCTTCTCTATTGAATTCTTCCCTTGAGCACATAAATCATTTAAGTCACTGATTTTCTTTTTTAAAAACTCCAAAACATCCTTAAACCCTTCATCCCTCTCCAGTAGCACCCTCCCTTTACTCCCACTAGGAGCCAAGCTTCAGAGCTTCAGAAAAGAGTTATCTTTATCTTCTGATTCCATTTCTCCACTCTCCATTCACTCCTGAACCTCCAGCCATCAGTGTTCCTCCACTATTCTATAACAAAAAACTTCCTTTTTCTTTTTTTTGGTTCTTATATTAGTAGCTCTTGGTAGAATTTGACCCTTTGCTTCCAGGAAACCACATTCTCGGGCTTTCCTCTGCTCTCTTTGGGCAGACGTTCTCAGGCTCCTTGGTCACCTTTTTTTATCTTGACCCATCTCTTAGAGCTTGGTGCTCCTTTGGGCTCTGTCTGTAGCCTTCTCTTCTCATCATACATTCCTTGGTGATGTCACACACCCTCCCAAAGCTTCATTTATTATCTTTGTTGTAATGTCTCCAGATATTTACATCTAGCTCAGATCTCTCTCCCGAGGGCAAGTCTCTATATCCATCTGTCTATTTGACCTCTCTCTGTAGATATTCCACAGATACCTCAAACTCCAAATCTGAACATCTGTCTTAGGCTGGGTTCTCTAGAGAAGCAAAACCAGTAAAGTGTATAAATATATATATAGAGAGAGATTATATCAAGGAAACAGCTCACGCAATTGTAGAGGCTAGAATGTTCCAGGTCCATGGATCAGGGTAGAGGCCTCTCCCAAGCCACACAGCTGCAGAAGCTGGCAAGCCCAAGATCAGAAGGTCGGAGAGCAGGGCTCCCACTCACAGGCTGTGCAGATCGACAAATCCCAGGTTCGGCAGATAAGCTGACAGCTCAAGTCCCAAGAACGGGAGATGAGACGACAGGAAGCAGCCGCAGGATCCAGAGAGAGCAAAAAACCAGAACGTCTGCTTATATACAGATGCGGGCCACACCGCCAAGGAGACTCCCTTTCATCTGATTGGCTACTCACAGTATATTCAATCATGGGAGTGATTACATTAAAACACGGAGAATCATGGCCCAGCCAAGTTGACACACAATCTTAACCATCACAACATCAACTCCCCTTACAAACTTTCTCCTGTTCCTAAATTTTTTTTCTCACTAAATGGCTGTATTTATACCGCACTACTCAAACTAGAAACCTCAAAGCCAGTCACAATACCTCTCTCTTCCTCATTATCTACATTTAATTAGTCATCAACTTTAGTTGATTTTAGCTCCTAAATATCTTTTGAATCCATCTATTTCTTTTCATCCCAACTGTTCTAGCTAGTTTCCTACCTGGATTGACACAACAACCCCATAACTAGTTTCCCTGGCTCCGAAATTGCCTTTCTCCAATTCATTCCCTGCATTTAGACAGAGTGATCTTTCTAAAGCACAAACCTTTAGATATGTCTTTGTCCTGCTTAAAGTCTTTCAGTGACTCCCTACTGCCCTCAAGATAAAGCTTTAACATGGCTCCTTGATCTGGTCCTTGAGCTTTTTCTATTTGCATCTCTTGTTGCTTCTTTCCTTAAAGTTTGTGCTCCGGATGTGTTCATCTGATTACCATTCCCCAAATACACCATACTCCCTCACCTCTAAAGCTTTATACATACTGTTTCCTTGGTCTAAAATCATCCTTCTCCCTTTCCACACTTTCCTTTACTAACTTCTACTTTTCTTTTCTGCTATCAATTTAAAGATAGAAAGACTTTTTGGACCCCTAGACTAGAGATAGGTATGTCCCATGTCCTACTATAGTACTCATACCCAAAACAAAAAAAAAAAACCCATTGCCATCGAGTTGATCCTGACTCATAGTGACCCTATAGGACAGAGTAGAACTGCCCCATAGAGTTTCCAAGGAGCAGCTGGTGGATTCAAACTGCTGACCTTTTGGTTAGCAGCCATAGCACTTAACCACTACGCCACCAGAGTTTATCATAGCTCTTCCTTATTACTGTAGTGTAATTGCTTGTTTAATTATAGGTGTCCTCAACAGTTGGTGAGCTCCTGAAGGTCAGGTCCCATGTCTTATTCACCTTTGGATCCCCAGAACCTGGAATGTGGTAGGTTCTCAATACACAAATTTTTTTAAGAAAAGAACATATAAATGTATGTTTATTTACAAATAAATCAATGTATAAATGAGCACATGTAAAGAATATATAAATTGGTGAAGAAGAAATATATATAGATAGATATCCACAATTCCATGATCTATAGATGTATGATTAACAACAATGGCAATAATGTAGCTAACTTTTATTAAGTGCTTGCTATGTGTTAGCATTATTCTAAGTTATTGTTAGGTGTTGTGATGGTTAAGATTGTGTGTCAGCTTGACTGGGCCATGATTCTCAGTGTTTATATGTGATCACTTCTGTGATTGAATCTGCTGTGAGTACCCAATCAGTTGAAAGGGTGTTTTCTTGGGGGTGTGGCCTGCATCCGAATATAAGCCGACTTCTGGCTTTTTGCTTGCTCTGGATCCTGTGGCTGCCTCCTGTTCATCTGACCTCCGGTTCTTGGGACTTGAGCTATCAGCTTATCTGCCGATCTTGGGATTCCTGGATCTTCACAGCCTGTGGGCGGAGCCCTGCTCTCTGACCTGCCAGTCTTGGATTCTCCAGCCCCTGCAGCTACGTGTATCAGGAGAAACCTCGTGGTCTTGGCTGTCAGTCTTGGGATTTGTCAGTATTCACAGCCTGTAAGCAAGAGCCCTGCTTTCCGATCTACCAATCTTGGGTTTGTCAGCCACTGCAGCTACATGAATTGGCAGAAGCCTCTATCCTGATCCACAGACTTGGGACGTTCCAGCCTCAACAATCACGTGAGCTGTTTCTCTGATATAAATCTCTCTATATATTTGTATGCTTTACTGGTTTTGCTTCTCTAGAGAACTCAGCCGAAGACAGGTGTTGTCGAGTTGGTTCCGACTCATAGTGACCCTATGTACAACAGAATGAAGCACTGCCCGGTCCTGCACCATCCTCACAATTGTTGTTATGCTTGAGCCCATTGTGTTATTCTAAGTACTGTATATTTATTAGCTCATTTGATCCTCACAACATCCCTATATGGTATAAACTAGTTCAAGGTACTGAGTGAGGGTGTAGAGAAAAGGGAGGTGTTAATCCTGCTGAAAGGGAATGGGAGTCAGGATAGCTTCAGAGAAAAAGAGGCCTCTGGGTAGACAAGTAGTTAAAGCCATGGGTGTGGCTGAGCCCTGGAGAAGAAGATCCAGTGAGAAGTAATATTAAGAGAGGTAGGAGGAAAAACAAGGGAAGTGGCACAAAGGAAGTCAGGTGAGGACAAGATTTCCAGAAAGAGGCATTTAATGTCCTAGTAAGGGCAAGTAGAAGAAGAGCGGAAAAGAAACTGCTAGCTCAGCCATCTCAGAAGTCATGGAGATTATTTTTAGAGGGATTTTAGTGGACTCGTATTGGTGCAGATTAGAGAAAAAAATGTAAGGAGAGGAAATGGAGAGAGTGATACTACTACTCCTGCAGGAAATTGGTAGTGAAAGAAAGGAGAGAAAAGGGAATGGGAGACAAGGCCAAGGGGAAATCTTTTCTTTTTCTAAATGGAGGTTAACCCAAACATAGTTTTTTGTTTTGTTTTGTTTTGTTGTTGTTGATTTTTCAAAAGGAGAGGCTCCAGTAGAGGAAAGATTGAAGATAAAGGGAGGATCAGAGGATGCAGGTGAAACTGAGATAAATAAGAGAGGTGAAGGATGAGTCTTCCCCTAGTTATTGAGGGAAAGGGGGAATGGGTGAATTGTTGACAAGGGGAGCCAACTTGAGGAAGTTGTCTCAAGGTGACCTCTATGATTCCTATAAAATATGGTACCATATTTAAGATCCTAGAAACCCATTCAACCTACTTTCTTTGGTTAAAGAAGAGAGGAAGAGTTTTGTACTGTTGTTGGGTTTTTTGCTGTCATATGTATCACACTAAACAAAACAGGAGAACATATGGGAAAGATAGCTGCAAAAGAAGAAGCCATACACAGTTCCTTTGAATGAGTGTAGAGAGCCAGATGGAAGCAAAAGAACATTTTGTTAAGGCACATTTGTGCTCACTGAACTAGACCATAACCTCGGTGAACGCAGAGACTATGTCTGTCTTGTCCACTGCTGCATCCACAGTGCATAGTCCAGTGTCCAGCCCACAGGAGATTCTCAATCATAGTTTGTTATGTGAATAAATAAAAATTTAAGCACTTAAAAGTTTTGTTTAGCTATTTCAATCAAGGTTAAAAACAAGGCCAGCTTCATGGGTGTGTGAGCTGTGCAATTAATTGCACAAGGCCCTGAGCTCAAAAGGGCCCTCTGGTTTAATGATTTGCTGTCTCTATTTTGAAATTCTCAATAATATAAACAAGGGGCCCCACACTGCCACTTTGCATTGGGCCCTACAAATTATATATCCAGTCCTGGTTAAAAAAAAACAAACAAACACACATTTCTATAAAATGTCACTAAATGGATATTTTAGATATTCAGGAATATCAAATTATCCATACAAATTTATATTTAAAATTTAAAAATGTATACATATTTCAAGCTTACCTGAAATGCTAGATCGTGGTTTTTCTTTCTTAAAATATGCTTCATACTCTCTGTAGACAATTTTCTTAAAGAAAGTTTCAGAAGTATTCAAGCTGGAAATAAAATACAAAAACTAATTTGAAATGTGTTACACTGTATATGACATCTTCTTTTCATATTATTAAAAGGTAGATCTCTCATGACCTCAGACTTCTAGTAGAAAATAAAAGTATTTTTATTGTATTTTAGAAACCCAAGATTTTATAAATACGAACGATAAGTGAAGTTAGTGAAATACTGTGAGAGCTGACACTCGACAGTACTGCTTTGTTTTTCCAGGTCTTAAAAGTTTTCTGCCTTTGACAGGGTGCACACTTACCACTTTCCCGTTGCTCATTTTAATGGAAAATATTTGAGTTTGCCTTCTCTGACAGGTTTCTGCCTTACACAGTTTCTGGCTTCCACAGATTTTACTGTATTTATTGGTCTCTTCAAAAATATTCAGTTGTGATAACCACTCTTTCATGAATTTAATCAGTTACAGGTGAGTTGATTCCGACTCATGATGACCCCATGTGTGTCAGAGTAGAACTGTGTTCCATAGAATTTTCAAAGTTGATTTTTCTGGAAGTAGACCACCTGGCCTTTCTTCTGAGGCGCATCTGGGTGGACTCGAACCTCCAGCCTTTCGGTTAGCAGTCAAGCATGTTAACCATTTGCACCACCCAGGACCACCTTTTATGAATTTAGGCAGTCCTAATCCTGTTACTCAGGATCAATTTTCTAAAGAAGAGCCCAAGATAACAGTCCAAATCCAAACTTTAGTTTAAATTTTAAATTATTAAATATATGACCAAGTATTTTACAAATAAATATGAGTTATTTTTCAACTCATCAATCAAATACAGTTTTATGCTACTGGGGAACATCGTAAATAACTACTGATAAAATGGACCCCATTTCTAGTTGAGAGGTGAGATATAGCTAATGCAGTAAAAAAAAAATCCAGGAAAAAAAAAATGAAAAAAACTAAGTCTCAAAAATTTAAGAAATTTGTCCAAGGAGACACTGTTAATAAATGGCAGGCATAAGACTGAAAAAGGTGCAACCATTGCATTCACATTACAGAAATTCAGGGAGAAGGAAGTAGGAAGAGTACTGGAGTAGTTTCCTATCTGTTTTCTTCTGCTTCCCTAAAGACTGGCACATCAGTCCCACCCTTTGTCTTAAACCAAAAGATGAGGGTAAAAGGGAGGAGAATTGGACAAAAATATCTTGCAAATGTCTAACCAGATTGGCTTTGTTATGCTCCTAATCCATAGGGAGTGACCCAGCTATAATTAGAGCATAACAGAGTGGGATACTGTGATCATTAAGGTTGTGTGTCAACTTCGTTGGGCCATGAGTCTCAGTGGTTTGGCAGTTATGATGTAGGTTGGCAGTTGTATGATGAGGCCATCACTTCCATGATGAGATTTGATATAATGTGATCACTTCCACGATGAGATTTGATATAATGTGATCACTTCCATGACGGGATCTGCTGTGCCTGCCAATCAGTGGAAAGAGTGTTTCCTTGAGGGTGTGGCCTGTGTACAATATAAGTGGACTTTCTGGCAAGGCTTGTGGGCTTTTGCTTGCTCTGGATCCTGCAGCTGGTTCCTATTTGTCTGACCTCCAGTTCTTGGGACTTGAGCTAGCAGCTTACCTGCTGTCTTGCCTGCTGATCTTGGGATTCATCAGTCTCCACAACCTGTGAGCAAGAGCCCTGCTGTCTGACCTGCCAATCTTGGATTCGCCAGCCCCTTTGGCTACATAATCAGGAGAAGCCTCCATCCTGACCCAAGGACTGGGGACATTCTAGTCTCTGCAACTGCGTGAGCCATTTCCTTGATATAAATCTCCCTCTCTATATATACATTGGAGCCCTGGTGGCACAGTTGTTAAGTGATACAGCTACTAACCGAAAGGTTGGTAGTTCAAATCCACCAGCTGCTCTTTGGAAACCCTATGGGACAGTTCTCCTGTGTCCTGTAGGGTCACTATGGAATCGCCTCAATGACAACAGGTTTGTGTTTTATATATATACATATAACTTAAA